TGGTTTGGGCCGTATCATTATTATTTTTTTCTTATTTTGGCTCATTGAGATCTTTAACCTAATGCTCATAAAGAAGACGTCTTGCGACTCTTTGTTTCTCTCTCTCTCTCTCTCTCAGACATATGGCAATCACGTCTTCCTACTTCTGTGTTCTAACACCGAACACATCATCCATCTCTGAATCAAATCTCACATGGCCTCACCTCTCCTTCTCTCCTAGACCCTCCTCTTTCTCCTTTACCCGAAAGTCCATCTCTTTCAATTGTAGTATCTCCCATGTTTTCTTGTTTTCCTTCAAGTTTTAGTACTGTTTTCCTCTTCAATGATTCAACCTATACAGCGTTTTTCCTTTGATGATATTCAGATCCTTGGTCTGTGCATCACAAGAGCTGATATGAGGAACAGAGTCCACTTAGCAATCGACAAGTAAACTGAGCCTGGACTGGCTTTATTAGCTGTTGCAAGACGAACTCTACCTAAGAAAACAAAAAAATAAGTTCTGGTGGTCCTGGTCCATGTGAAGTCATTGGTGTGTTGCCTTTGTTTGGTCCTCCAAGACATGACAGTGCATACACCATTAGAAGAGCTTTAGACCTAGGTGTCAACATCCATATGATCATTGGTTAATATCTGTGTATTTACTTCTATCTTTGGCTTTAATCTTATGATGTATTTGTTTTCCTATAGTTGAGCAAGCTATTGCCAAATAGACTCGACATAGGCTTCTCTATTGATAATCACAAAGACGAAAGCCTAGCTGCTGTCTTCCCAGGTTAGTTAAGAAAACTTTTTTTTATCCATCAACTTGCATTTTTCTCTACAAAGATGTTTTGATTTATGTTTCAGCCAGAACACAAGTACAAGATTGTGAAGAAGTTTCCTGAGTTGAAGCATATATGTAGAATGTCTGGTGATGAATGTTCATGCATTGAAAGGAGCCAATATTGGTATCACTGTTCCTGATGCTACAGGCGCTGCACGAGCCTTGAGTCAGTGTTATCATCAGCACAATTTTAACCACTCGAGCTATTTTCTAAAGAATAAAAAACTATACAGTCAGTGCTCTATGTTAAGCTATTGTTTAATACAATATATTTTCTCTCTCCAATCTCACTTTCCAGCCTGAAAATCAAATAAAACTTTGCAATTGTCTTTGCAGCCTACATGACTTTAGTGACCAGTGTTTTCTCCTGCGCGGCTCACAGAACCAACTTCTTCCTGGTATATATCTAACATATTAACAATCTCTCTCTTTTTTCAATCAACTTCCCCATCACTCAAGCATAACTCGCTTTGTTCTTTTCCTTAGATAACTTTCCATGTGAGAGACTTGAGAGGCAATGAACATGAAATGAAGCGTGCTTTGTAATTCGGCAGTATTGTGTGCCGCTCTTATATTCATCACTTGATCAAGAGCCATGTATTTTACAGAACGACCATCTGATAGCATAAGTAGTAAAGCATAAAGCATAGTTTCGTTTCTTTAGAGGAGTCTTCTCAATTCGCTATTGACCAGATGCATGAGTAGTCATCTTTGTATGTCTGGCGACTGTATATCAAGAACTTGCAAATCGGATTTCAATACAATTTTATTTGTAAATAATATATGTGAAATACTCAGAGTATTATACATGTAACAATGGGTCATTATTTGTTATTATGTTCTCCAGGATTTGAGTGCCATTTATTCAGTGCCTACTTCTGAAAATATTTTACATCTGTTTGATTACTGTTTTTTCTTCTTCAGTTACAAATATCCATATCTTTTTTAATAAATTCAACTTTATATTGTTAGTCTGATTTTTTTTTTTCGAAACAGGTGGTAAGCTATAGTCTTAAGATACGCTTAGACTCATACCTTAAGTGTTTTAAACAAATTCAACTTTCTGTTCACCAATAAGTTTATATATGTTTTAGTTTACTCTTTGACTTATTACATTTATGTTCACAAAAATAAAGTAAAGTTCAAAAATCAATAGTGTATGAAGTTTTAATAAAAAAAAGATTAATCCTTCAAATAATAAAAAAAATTGAAATAAAAATAACAAAACCAAATAATACATATATTTAAAATAATCATCGAAAAATTGAGACAAACTAAATATCATTTTTCTAATTTCTCGCCCGTAGGGTGAGTCTAACCTAGTAATAAATAACATGATGTTTTCTAAATGCTTTGCTAATCAAGAACGAATGATGTTAGTGGAAAGTACCGGTTTTATATTTTTAACTAAGTGATTGTTTTCATGCTCATGCGTTGATATTAATATTTATGAAGTTAACAAATTATAATAGTTAATCAATATACTATTTACATTTAAATTAATTTATAAATTTTTTGTAGAAAATATTATTTTACCTTTAGGGAAACATGCAATATTAAGTAATATTTAAACGTCTCAGTTGTCATTAGAATATATTGTATTGCATATATTTTTCAGAATTAGTTATATTCTTGTTACAAATAGGTTAGAGTTTAACCAATTTTTTAGTTGTATTTAGTTTGGTTATATATTATAGTTCTAAATATATTTTAGTGAAAATATGCAAAATTTGATTGGTTTAAATATTTGAATATGTCTACATTAGATTGTAAGAATTATGTTGAATTAAACTCAATTTTTTTTGTTTAAATCTAGATATACTAATATTAGTGTTGTTAATTAATATACTAAACCTAATATTTTTTGGAATTACTTAGATTAATTTTGGTTGAAACCTAGATATACTAACACTAATATTCCTATGTTTTTTTGTCAACAATATTTGTCTTTTTAAAAAAATAAATAGCAAAATATAAGTTGAGATATCAAAATAAACATAGAATCTATTATATTTTGTAAATATTTTTATTTATTTATTCTGTTTTATTCAAAAATATTAATAAAACTAAAAATCAAACAAAAAATATTTAAAAAAAAAAACATATCATCTTTAATAGTGACATTGAATTATATTTTTGGTTATTAGAAAATCTCAACTTATATTATCTTAATTTTATATATGTTATTAGCTCATCAAAAAATATTTATAGTACAGAAATATTATATTTAACTTCTATAATACTTATTATGCTGCATAAGATCAATTTTAAAACATTTTTCTATTTTTTCTAATACACACCAATTTTGTTTTTACTCTTTTTAGTTTGTGAAATAATGTTTTCTTGTTTGTAAAAATAACTTAAATATAGTAACTATGATTAATAGTTTTATTTCATTGACGACATTAGTTTTTATTAATTAAAAGATTTTTCTTCTTAGGTTATTAAAGATATCGGTTGATAGAAAACATATTTTTAGGGACTTTTAATTTTTAATATCCATTATATTCTTTGAGATTATTTTCAACCAGAAAATTAATAATTATAAGATATATTGTTTTTTCTTTTAGTTATTTTTTCTTTTTAAGGAAATCAATTATGTATATAACATATTACATTTTCATTATTTAAAAACATTTCCTTATATATATTATTTGGAAACTAATTTACATAAAATTAAGCTAATATTAGAACTTAATTGGAAAATTATCTCCAAAAATATCGATTATAATAAAATCTCTATAAATTAATAATTTTTGGACATTAATGATTTATTTAAGAGATTTTAATACAGAGACAAAATTCTTTTTAAATACATATATTTTGAAATATTTTCTTATGTAAAAATAAGAATAACAATAGCTTAACCGTATAAGTATTGATTAACATTTATAGATACAAATTTTATAATGTTGTGATTCGGTTATTTGGTGAAAATATGTACCATAAGTGTAAATACGTTCTAAGGTGTAAAATAAAATAAAAAAATCAATATATTTAGAAATGTTTAGAAAAAGTTAAAGACACTTCAATATGAACAAAAACCTATACAATATATTATATACTTAAATTATTAATTTATATTGGGACATATGTTTACATATGACTTTCAAATAAATATTATCTTATTGTCTTATTGAATTATGTCATATTTTTTATTTGCCCAGTTCGAGACTGGTAAAATTTATTAATTCATCATGGTTATTAATTTATCAAGTATTAATTTATGGTTTTTCTAGTATATATTGTTTAAGATTATGTTTAAACGGAAAATTATATTTTTAATATGAATCTTATTTTACCATATATATGATATGACCAAAATTTGAACCAAAGTAGCAAAATATCCGAACATGTACCATGTGTTATTTCATATTTAATATCTTTTAAAAATGAGACAACAATTGTCAAATTATATTATGTTTTTAAAATAAAAAGATAAAACTAATAGTTATAAAATAGAATTTTTATTAAATATTATTAACACCATCAGCAAAACACTAAACCTTAAATCATAATATCTAAATCTTTGGGTAAACTCTAAGCTCAGGATAAATCGTAAAATTTAAAAACACTAAACTCTAAATCTTAGAAACACCAAACGCTTAATCATAATCCCTAAATCCTTGGATACAAATAAATAAAAAATATTAATAGTCGTTTAAAAAAAGAGAATTTTGTTAAAATATTTTAACGTTGTCGCAAAACACTAAATCCTAAATACTAAACACTAGATCTTAAATGCTAAACTCTAAATGCTAGAATAAACCATAAACCCTAGGGTTCACAATTTATTCAAAGGTTTAGGGGTTATGATTAAGGGCTGACTATTTTAAAAAATTAGTGTTTTTGATTTAGTGTTTAACATTTATCCAAGGGTTTATGGTTTATCTAAGGATTTAAGGTTTAGGCTTTTGCTGACGGCGTTAAAAATATTTTTTTTAAATAATTTTTTTTCTTTTTATGCAACTATTACTATTTTTTATTTAAAATTAAAGACTAGGATAGCACTAACCCAAGTTTTTGTTCACAAACTAGCACTCAAGGTCAAATGTCAAAAAATGTTTCATTTAAGAAGGTCAAATGTCTATGTTACCCTTCTTCTTTGTTTAATTAACTTTTTTTCTTTAATTAGAATAATATGTTATCTAGTAGCTTCCCGTACCAAGAAGAGTTGATGTTCGCTAATCCTCCGTCACCTCCGCCGCCGGCGAAACGGTTTAATTCAGAAGAATCTCATCAACCGGTTTTCCCATTCTCGGATCAGGATCCAGGTCTCCTTCGCCGTCAACAACAATTCCAGTTTCCATTTCCGTTTCACCAGCAACAAATCCCGTCTTCTTCTTCTTTGTCTTTGGTTCCGGTTCCGCCGCCGGAAATGGCTGGCTATGACCAATCAGTCATCATCGAGCAGCTGTTCAACGCGGCGGAGCTAGTCGGAAACAATAACAACAACAACGGCGACCACACCGTTCTCGCGCAAGGGATATTGGTGCGGCTCAATCACCATCTCAGCTACAACAATAACAACAAGAACCCTCCGTTTCAAAGAGCGGCTTCTCACATAACCGAATCTCACCTCTCACGAATCAAAAACGCATCTCCACCATTAATCTCACCAGAGAATCTCATCCTTAGAATCGCAGCTTACAGAGCCTTTTCCGAAACGTCGCCGTTTCTCCAATTCGTCAACTGCACATCGAACCAATTGATTCTCGAGTCATGCAACAACGAGCTAGGGTTTGATCAGATCCACATTATCGACTTCGACGTCAGTTACGGTGGACAATGGTCATCTTTAATGCAAGAGCTTGTTTTGAGGAGAAGAAACAGAGCAACGTCTCTGAAAATAACAGTCTTTGCCCCTCCTCCGTCAACAGTCTCCGACGAGTTTGAGCTTAGATTCACGGAGGAGAATCTCAGAAGCTTCGCCAAGGAAGTCAAGATTTCGTTTGAGATAGAGATGACACAACAAGATGTTGGTGCCTTGGTGGTTGTGAAACCTGGTGAGCAACAACCTCTTCCTGGAATTATTACAGAGAGAGGTAAGACATAAATTGTCTCAATGAATGTTTTTCGTTCAGTGTGTTCCATCTCCATATGTTTTTGACATTGCGATTTGTTTTAGATTATCTGAGGAAGATCATAGTGCAAGGTAGATCATACAAATCAACCAAAGTAGGAGACATTATGACTGAAGAGGTATGGGATCACTGATGAGAATATTTCTTGAAAGATGAATTTTTCATTGGAGTAAAACAGTGGTGAGTGATGCTCTTGTTGTATCAAAAAGCTAGAATTGAGGATTTCGCTTCCAGTTTCAGTCTTTGATATTTCATTGACTTGCATTTTGCATTGAACTTTTCTATGTGTTCTTATTCATAATATCTATCATTTATGATTTGATTGTTGCAGGTTATATCCGACCTTGATTTGTTTTCACAAGTGGGAGAAAATACACCTTTTATGATCTCAGATCTAAAATGATGCTTGTTGTTCGGGAAGGAGAGTTATCTATACACCTAAAAGGAGTGACATAAGCCACAATTCTATGTGGCATTTCTATTAGAAAGGATGCCACAGTTTCTTACATGTTGATTTTTTATCTCTTTTGATTCTTCAGACAATATGTTTTGTCACATTTTTTATCTTATATGTGAGAAATATGGTTTCATATGGTGCTTGAGAACCATATAACTATAGGTATATCGTTTCATGTCTCATTTTTCTCTGTTCTGGAAAGCTTTCCTGAAACTATACAAAAAATACTATACACTTTCACAAGCACAAGCAACATGCATAAGTCAAACAAGGAGGCACCAAACAAAAAGTTTTTTTTTTTAAATTTGTTAGCATCAAATTTTCTGGAAAGCTTTCTTGAAATCATACAAATCTTGCCTGAAATTTAAAAAATACTACATTGTTTAACAAGCACAAGCACACACAAGAAACTAACAATTTCATAAGCAAATTCATGAGTCTACCAAAGATATTAACATGCGTAAGCCAAAAATGAAGATACCAAACAAAAAGTTTTCCAAATTTGTTAACATCAAATGTTCTGGAAAGCTTTCCTGAAACAACACAAATCCTTTGTGAAATTTAAAAACAATACGCTGTTTCACAAGCACAAGCACACACAAAAGAATTAATAAAAGTAGTTGCTAAACCCCCTCTTGGACGAAACTTAATAAAACATTTTGCTCCAATCTGCGTTCGATTCCTCTTGGAATCGGATTTGTTTTTTATTTTTTAATTGAATAAAAATCAGTTATAATCCTTTACTTAGTAATTGAAGGCTTGTGTTTACTCATTTTACTTCCTGGAAATCCATAATAAAAGTACCATAAGCTATCATAAAAAAAAAAAAAACAAACAAAACAAAAACACTCCCACAAAATTTCACGATTCTGAGCCTACTCTTCATAGGTGATGTGGTTTATCCCCTATGTTCATATCACCATCTATTTCCCTCTTCTCGTGCTTATGTAAATGTTTGGTATTTTTCAGTGTGCTGAATCTGCTTTGAGGATAGTCTTGGGAAACCTCACTCACACATATTTTGTTGGCAATGCCCCAATGGCTCACATGGCTATACAACCTACGGTGCTGGCCCTGATTTCACACTAGCTTACATTTTTGAAGAGGATGTCAAGCATTTTCGTTTTACTTCCTATCCTAACATTTTCTTAGATATTAATTTTTTTAGGAAATCTTTCTTAAATATTTTACTTGTCATCCAAAACATATTCAAGAATCTTACATTGTAGTTTTACCTTGTCTAAGAAAGCAAAATATTATGGAAACCCAACCTGAAATAACAAAGTCCCTTCCAATGTTTTATTCTTTAAAGGATGAGATGATTCTCTATTCTAACTGCATCTGGTGTGTTTGGTTTGTTTTTGTTTGTATGATTTCTTAAAATGATCAGGATAGTTTTCCTAATCATCTAAATCTCAGTCCCACAAGTGGAGCAGATGTGGCATAAGAAGGCATAACAAGTACACTCTTTATTCTGAAAACCCATCCAGAAAACTTAAAATGCCTTCCAATATTCGTGACACACAAGTGGGAGTTAAATAAAATTATGGTTTGACAGTTAACAAATGATTCTCCTCGGCCTAACGGGAAAATTTGTATACTTTCCCCCATACAGTCTCTCACTCTGGATTCAATTCATGGTTGATTCAAAATCAATTTTTATGTTTTTGTCTGTAAACATCACAATTAGAAACTTATCAACCATGCAGATATCAAATCTTTAGTTTTAATCTCTTTTCATTTTATTAGTTTAAACTTTACTACAAAGAAACACTCTTAACATTTTATTCTGGAAACCTATCCAGAAAACTCAAAATGCCTTCCAAGATTTGTGACACAAAAGTTAAAGTTAAATACAATTATGTGTTGACAATTAACAGTTGATTCTCCTCGGCCTAGCCGCCAAACTTGCTTGCTTTCCCCATCCCACAGTGTTTACGAACCTGCATAAACAAGCCAAACTTTTTTATGAGATTTCTGGAAAGCTATCCCGAATCTTAAAAACCATTACAAAAAAAAAAACAAAATTTCGCAAGCACAAGGAATAAGAGACCAACAATTTCAGTAAAAAAAAAATCACAAGCCTATCAAAGATATCAACATGCATAAGCCTAACAAGACACCAAGACAAAAAGGTTTTCAATTTTGTTACCATCAGATTTTCTGGAAAGTTTTCCTGAAACAACACAAATCCTTCCTAAATTTTAAAAACACCACAAAGTTTCACCAACACTAGCAAGAAGAGACTAAACAATGTCACAAGAATATTCACGAGCCTACCAAAGATATTAACATGCATAATCTAAACAAGACACCAAGACAAAAAAAAAGTTTTCAAATTTGTTACCATCGGATTTTTTGGAAAGCTTTCTTGAAACTACACAATTTCTTCATAAATTTTAAAAACACCACAAATTTTCACCCAGCACTAGCAAGAAGAGACTAAACAATGTCATACGCATTTGATTAGCTCAACTAGTTCTCGATAATAACATCTTATGTAGCCATCTAGAGAACAACAAAATCAAAAGGTGCATTATCTCAAAACCTTATGTTCCCACAATTTAGCAGCCTTTGATTTGAGCTCCAACAACTTCCAAGGACCTTTCCTTCGCTGGACAATAGAGCTTTGTCTTTACTAAAACAACTTATCGGGTTAATAGTGGTTTTCTTCAGCTACAAACAGTACCAAACAAATGTGTTCTAAACAAATCAAAATCAAATCAAAAAGTCCTTAAAGAAAACTTATATGTGTGTTCTTAACAAATCAAAATCAACCTGTCGATTAGGAAGGCTAAGCTTAAGACAATATGAGCAGTAGCAATGATAGCAAGAGGTCCGAGAGATAAGCGCAAGACCCGAGTGTTCAACAAAACTCAAGGGTGATAGTAATTTAGGTGTTGAATATCTCCTGCTGTTCATTTCCTGCGTCACCAAACCAAAAAAAGTTCAAATTTTCTAGGATCAAATTTTTTGGAAGGCTATCCTGAAACTACGAAACTCCTTCCATAAACTAAAATAAAGAAAAATACACAAGTTTTCAAAAGCAAACTCATCACAGTCCCACTTTTCATAGCATCATAGAAAAGGTTAATTTTATCATAGCATCGAAGATCTCACAACATAGCTTGCTTCGTAAGTCCATCCGAGTTTCTGGAAGGCTTTCCTGAAACTACACAGAAACTTCCTGAATAATTTATATAATCTATACAGTTTCATAAGCACAAGCAACAAGAGACTCATAAGCAAATTCAAGAACCTATCAAAGATATCAACATGCCTAACCAGAACAAGACACCAAGCAAAAAAAAATTCAAAATTTGTTATCATCCGAGTTTCTGGAAGGCTTTCCTGAAACTACACAAATTCTTCGTGGAACGTTATAAAATATAGACAGTTTCACAAGCACAAGCAACAAGAAACTAACCTCTTTCATGAGCAACATGAAATGATTAATTTCTTAAACACACTCAATAGTTCTGGACTCTTGTTCTTCACCAGAGATCCCATTGGCTATCCCACTCACATGATTTGTCAATTCTTTTAGATCTTTCATGTTGTTTTTCTTTAAGCAAGTACGAAGCAGCATTTACAAAATTCTCCGCAAGATCTGGAATTTTTCTTACTATTCTAGTTGAGCAAAGTGCTGCCTACAATAACACACCATAGATTATAAACGAAATGAAGGAATAAAAAAAACAGCAATCAATCCATACATAGAAACTAGTAAACACTTCACCTTCTTCCGGATATTAGGGTCACGAAACTGGATCAACCTTTCTACTTCCGGCGCAAGATCACGAGCCATTTCTGCAGAAACATTGTTCCCTAAAGCACAGAGCGCCAATTCTACAACATACTGGTTCGTGTGGTTAAGATCTCTGCACATGAGTCAAGGCAAAACTGGAGCAAATCTATTTTCCTCCTAAATCCCTACCACAGTAATGAATCCCAAAAGCAAATGCGCGTTCTTTCTCCACTAACACTTGAACAAGAATCTATGCAAAGGCCATGCTAATAAAATCAATAAGATATGTTTTTTCTCTCTAACTCCCATCACAAAAAAGGCAACCCAAAACCAAGAGTCCTATCTTCCTTCACTAACACTGAACAAAAATCTATGCGAAGTCCATGTGATATTAAAAATCAACACTTAGGAGTAAAGGATACTGTTTTAATGAGTTAGTGACGAGCATCAACACTTCTTGTCTCTCATCAAGAAGCAACATTAACCCGAGATAACCAATCCTCTTCTCCGGGAACCTAGGAGATGCAATAAGCTTCAAGCACTCCATCTGCCCAAAGTGCGTAGGGTAACCAACCATGTGTATGAACATGAGCTTAGCGAGGTTACGGTGCCTATCGTGAGGGTTGTTTTCATTAATGGATGCTCTGATATCAGCACACTCTTTTCTCACAACGCCACGCTCCTCCGCAGCTGTTTTGCAAGCTCTTATGGATCTGATCATGTCCCTGAAACATATATATTCACATGTCGCATCAACTTCAGAATCATATCATACAAACACCTAAACCAAAATCATCTTTCAAATCCTTCTCGCATTCTTATATGATCAAGAGCAGAGACTACTAAGAGACGTGAAACAGAAATGGAAAGAAGAGAATTCAATTACCTTAGACGAGTACTGGAAGAAAAGGGATTCATGACTGGAGCAAATTTTGGGAAGAAGCTACAAATCAATGGGATTCATGACAGGAGCAACTTTTGGGAAGAAGCTACAAATCAATTAGCCGCGGGGAAGAATTTCGCCGCCGGGTTTATCTCGAATTCGTTACCGGAGCTCCGACGAGCTGATCAGATGACGAAAGAAACTGGGGATTTGGATCTCGATGGACACATGTCGAGTTCTTTTTTTCTTTTAATTAACATGTTTGAGAGTAGTGTAGTCTTTAGTCCATTAATGAATGTCATTTTGTCACTTTTCCCTTCTAGTACTCTTTTGGGGACAAAAATTTCAAAGGTGCTATTATGGATAATTGCCCTTTTATTTATTTTTATCTTTTTGTTTTAAAAATAATATAATTTGATAATATTTTTTTTTATTTTTCTAAAAGACATTAAATATGAAATAACACAATCATATTGGTAAGAGGTGAACTCAAGAATAACTCTTATATATCTATACATATAACTGTAAAATAAAGCGATTTACTACTCACTTAAAATACATGTCAAGATTTTAGTTTCATGCATAACGAGATTGCATCCAAAATTTTGAAATTATAATCAGACTAGTATTTTTCTATTAATATTATCTCCAAACCTATTAAAGGTTTCGTTCAACCTATTAATATTTTAAAATTAGTTAAGTTAACGATAAAATTTTAAATGTCAAAAAAGTTGAGTAGTGAATAATTTGACTTTTCAAAATCTAAATATCCAGATCCTACCCAAAATAATCGAAACAAGACTAAAAATATCAGACCCTATGTAAAAATATCCGAATAGGTTCTAGATTCCACTACCGAAGTATCCAAAAAGCCAACATATCTGATCAGAATCCGAACATGTACATGACAACATATTTTATGGACTTGCAACGGAGTTGGATGGACTTTCCTGTCTTTATAAAAATCTTCCTGAAGATATCTACAATACTTTATTATCTTTATCCATAACCGATAGAAACTAATACTGAACCCAACTCTGAAACAAGAGTTATTTTATAAATTTGACAATGTGCTAGCTACTGTCATGAATCAGTTTCGGACTGGTGAAGATGCATTACTCGTCTCCTCTATTTTGTTCTCATCTTTCTCTGTTTCGTTTCCGATACTAGTTTCTGTGGAAACAGATACTTTCTCACTTTTGCACTCTCTGCTGGAGAGACTGAGCAAAGGAGTTGCATCTTCCCAAATAGACTCCAATGTGAAGGATTCACCAATTTTTAAACCATTTGCTCTAGCAAAATCTTTCCAGCCCTTTCCCAAACTCATTCTTCCTTGGCTTTCTCGTAGAAGATTTGTCATCCACTTTGTACCATCTTTTCCCAGCAGAGCTATCGTTCCAGGTTCGTTCATGCCGTTTTCCCTCATGAATGGCAATGGAAGACCCTGGAAAAAGTTTGAACCAATGAGAATGCAAGTAGCAGAACTAACGAAATTCTAAAACAAGAGTTGATTGATGAACTAACCAGTCTACTGTTTTTAAAGCTGTCTTCTGTAAGTGTTAAAGTCACAAATCGGTTCTGGCTTCTGAATTCCGTACTGAGCAAACTGAGCACAGGAGTTGCATTTTCCCAGATCAACTCCATTGTGAAGGACTCGCCCATGTTTAATCCGTTTGCTCTAGCAAAATCTTTTAAGCCCTTTCCTAAACTCATCCTTCCTGAGTTTTCCCGTAGAAGATTTGCCAGCCTCCTTGTACCATCTTTCCCCAACAAAGTTACCATACCCGGTTTGTCCATGCCGTTTTCTTTCAAGAATGGCAATGGGAGATACTGGATAAATAAATAAAACGAGAATTAAAAAGAAACGAAAGATCAAACCAACAAGATTTGTTTGTTTGATGAACTCACCAGTCTGCTACTTTTGAGGCTATCGTTTGTAAGTGTTAAAGTCACAAATCGGTTCGGGTTTGGTAAGGTTGAATCTCTACATATTTTAGGAATGTTCTCGTCTCCTTGTGTTGCATCACCCATAGATTCCGCAGGGCAGACAATGAGCAAAGGTGTTTCCCCGTTCCTCAGTAGTTTGAACATAAATAAGCTTCCGGCTTTTTTGCCGTTTTCTTCACAGAAATTTCTCCAACCTCGGGTTATATAGAATGTATCAGACGATTTGTTGAACCTCAGATCCAACGCCCATGATCTTTCCCTTTCATCTGCTAAAAAAATCTTGCGGCACTTTCTTTTAAAACCATTTGAGATTGTGAAATCTGGTGGAAGACACTGCAGAATTTATAAGTTGACGCATTTTCAGCATTTCATCAAGTTGTGCAAAACTTTGTTTAATTTAATTGCCAAAATAAATTGACAAAATACAGAAACCAAACCCATGTTGTTGAGATTAATATGATTTGTTTTTCTTTTCCAAAACAAGTATTCTCCTAAACCGAATAACAATTCTAAAAACAGCAGTTCATCTGACAGGTATGCAAAAACAATTGAAGAAGTATACTGTTATAAATGCACGCACCAGAGAATCTTCTTGTAGATTGGAAGCCGTAACAGGGGCCACAAAACAAGAGTTTTCTGATGAAGAAGAATCGGCTTCTGCTTCGGAATTGTTCTTCTTCATTTTCTTATTTCCTGTTAAAACCTCGGATATTTAGATTTGTATAACTGTTTTGAAACAATAACATCAAACAATTGTACCAAAAAAATAAAATAAAAATAACATCAAACAGAGTAATAATCTCTGACATATATATATAACTGTGTCACTACAAGAAGAAGATTAGAAGAGAAGTTACCGGTGTTGTTCTGATCATCATCACCTTCTTCTGTTATAGGATGCTTCTTCCTAGAGATGTAACCTGTTTAGAACATGTAAAGAATCTAAGTTTTATCACACTTTAACGTCAATTTTTGCAAGCTCTCACAAACACAGAGCATCCCTAGAATACATTTTTTTAAACAAAACTTATAAGTAAATAGAGCCAAACTTACCCATGTTGTCCTGATCCTCGTTGTTGGTGTGTATGTCAGAGGAAGTGGATCCTGAACCAGAGAACATCTCTGTGGAGTGGCTAATATCTTCTTCTCCAGGCTTGTTCCTTGTTGATGCTTCGAGAACAAGAATCGGCTACAAGTAAAAATAATGTCTCTCAAATAAGCTGTGCAAATTTCTCAGATGAGAAAAGGGTTATCGTTTTACCTCTTAGAGAGCGAGTGTTAGCATGCATTTCTGTAAAATTCGAAATCTCAGCGTTAATTTGGATGTTGCAACTTTTTGGTTCAATCTCTCCTGACTAACCCTCCAATTTAAAATCTCTCGATTTGGGGATTTGGAGAAGAGATGAGAGATTAAGATTTGATTGAGAAATCGCTAACCTTTGAACACAGATCGATAAGAGAAGAGAAGCTTCCTTCCGTTGAATGTCGAAGAAGGAATGACACGTCGAGTTTTGTCAATGCTCTTAACCAACTGGGCCCAATTTAGTTGGGCATTTAATTCATTCAGAACAAAAATTTCTTTTCAGACCCTTTCACATTGCACACGTTACAGTACGACTGGCGTTCGGATACCCGTTGGTGTTCCGATCGAGTTATTTAGATTTAGATTTTATTTTATAATACCTTCTAGGTCCTACTGTAATAAATTTACTATACTGGTCAGGTTCGGATATAACACATCGCTTTGAATCGATTTTGTATCACATCCTAGAACCCATAAAGTAATCATATATCGTTTGGATTCGGTTATATCGGATCGATTCGGATATACCCAAAGTAAAATCTAACACTCGGTTTAGGATCGTTTTTGTATCACATCTTAAAACTCATAAAGTAATCATATATTGTTTGGATTCGGGTTATATCGGATCGAATATACCAATATATACTTATTCATATGTAATTGAGTATTTAAGATATTTAAAATTTAAATACTTATTGTTAGATATCATATTAAAATAAATAGGAAACTGAATATTTGAAGTATATATTTATGTTTTATATATTTATATTATATATTAATTTGTATATTCGGATCGGTTTATTCAGATATTTTTTCAAACTTTTTGGATTTTCGCGTTTTTCAGATTATTTGTTCGGGTTTGGTTAATAACAATTCAGGTTCAGATATATTTAATATCACCTTACAAGATCTTTTTGGGTTTTTTTTTACATTTTGGATCGGAGTGTTTTGGTTTAGATTCGGTTTGGACTTCGGGTTTAGGATTTTATGCACAGCCCTACGTTACAGCAAGTAACTGCTGGGGACAAAACCAAAACGACTTCGAAAGTTCAAATTCATGCTGCTTTTTATTCTGAGCTGTTATTCTTTACCCAACTTAATTAAATTTCTATTTTTTTAATAAGGGTTTTGTACTTCGAATCTGAATCGATGAAAACGAAACATTGAATGGGATTTTAGAATTAAAACCTAGCCGTTTGCATCCCAAAAACGACGTCATTACACATCATGTATAAAATGCTGAACGTGACTTCATTCCTTCTCAACTTATCCCTCTTAGATTTTGTTCTTACCATCAAGACATGTGTACGATTTCATTCCCTCACCATTGAAATTGAATCTCAAAGTGGTGATACAGAGTCGCCATCTCCAACCACAATTCTCTGAAACCGAAAGGTACTGGTTTTATTTTGTTGGCCATAGATACTTAAAGTTATCAGAGCATTACCTTCTGGGTTGTCATTTCACCAATTAAGTTCTAGTTTGATTATGCAAAAGTTGTCACTTTTGGACTCGATCGTTTGCAAATCTTGTGTTCTCTGTGGCTTAACTGATAAACTTCTGAACACTTTGTTTTGATATTTGCTAAAAAAGTTTTTTTTTTTTTTTTGAGAACTTATTTGCTAGGGAAGATGTTCTAATTTTATTTTTTCTTTCTTTCTGAAACTATTATTACTTGTTAAGATGGAAGTTAATCCTTGTCTGTTCATTTTTGTTTAACAAAGTTGCTAAAAGCTTAATTTTTCTCTCTTGTTCCACAGCGAACATGGCTAAACCTGCAGGGAAAGACAAAAAGATGATACCAGACTGGACTAAGCTCCATAAAGAGCTGCTTCAGATTATCAGCGGTAAAATGAACTGTTTCGATGTTGTTCATGCTCGCTCCGTCAGCACCTTGTGGCGATCCACATTCTCATTTCCGCCTTCCTTACTGTGTTCAAGTTACTCTCTCCCCACTTATCCTGTCGAAAAGCAAGGCTTGTGCTCCCTCCAGAAGATCCCTTTCGTCCTCGTTATTGTCCCAGCGCTTACTGATGATGTTGATGAGTCGTCTTCTGAGTGTTTTATGGGATTAGTTGGCCGAGATGAGTCTGCTGATTACATGGAGGTTCCATCTCCTCTTCAGTGCTCGCTAAGGGTGAAGATGGCAAAATCTGATCCAACATTAATGAACATGATAGGCTCCCAGATCTTATCTCTTGGCCATCAGTACATAATTGTTTGTTGGGATTCTAAAGGATTGAGAACAACTTACAAAAAACGCGGCTCTTCTTCCCCTAAACAGGGAGAGAGGAGAAGGAAGAGGAGAGTTCGTTGTGCTTCCTAGCTTCTTGGGAACTTTGTTCGTGTTAACAAGTGCTAAAAGGAAGTGGGTGCGGCTTCGGGGCGTTCCAAGTTCTCCATGCACTGCATTAGTCACTTTTAGAGGAAGGTTCTATGCATCTTTCCTTGGCAAGGACATTTACGTTATCCATCCTTATTCACTAGTAGCAGTTCGCCTGATACGTCCAAACTTTATCGAGGGAAGCAATCATCTCATTACAGCTGGTGCTGATGAGCTTTTCCTGGTTAAGAAAAGTACACCTAATACTGGTCCAGTAACATGTAGAGTGAGTAGGCAGGTGGGTTTAGGATGGGATGAGGTTGATGATCTGGGAGACCGTGTGTTGTTTGTTGGACAAGATGCAAATGTCTGCTGCTAGGCTAACCAGCTTCCTGATGGTTGTGGTGTGACCGGGAACTCGATTTTGTTCCCGAAACGAGCAGGGGATGAAACCTACTTCTATGAGTATGGACTACCTGAAGTTCCAAAAGAAAACGTGGTGGCTGAATGGAGAAGCTCAAGAGAGAGACGTGTTAAATTCCTTGATTCTCAGGGGGCTTATGCTTTCTGTGTTGAGTTTGAATTCTAACTGTTGCTCAAAAAAAAGATGTATTGCTTTTGTTTTTATTTTTGTTTTCGATCAAAACATATTTACTCCTACTAATTTACGTATTGTTGTGATGTCTACGAAAATTTGTGTTAGATATATTGTCAGTCATCTATTCATTTCTACAGGGCCTTTCTCTTGATGGAATTTCACTTTCTCCTATTTGCCTGAAGAACCAGCCGTATCAACTTAATTGGTTTATGTTATGGTCCTTGTGGTTTAAACTTATCTTCTTAATGAATATAGATGAATAAAATAAAATCTCTACATTAAGTAAGTACTATGTGATTGATGTCCACGCGGATTTATTTTAGAGAAAATTACTAGAATGATACACAAAAGCTTATATATGACTAGAATAGTATATATTTTCTAAAAATTACTAGAATGTTTTTATACTCCTAGTAAATTACAATAAACACCCTTGTTTAATTTTGTTACTATTGATACAAATTTTAATTATTAAATCCACATCATAATTTGACAATCCACGTCACTAACTAATTTGTGTCATCAGTTACACTGGAAAATCAACAGTCCCATATCTCCGGTGAACAAAAAAAAAGTCTTAATGTTACATTCTTCTCCGTCACAAC